AAAAGAAAAGGTTTGTTTTTTTTCTTTTTTTTTTTTTTTTTTTTTTTTTTTTTTTTTTTTTTTTTAGCTCCAGTGTGTCAATTATCAGCTGAGTTTCATGGAAATCAGGTTCTGTCTGAGAGGGCAGAAACTGAAACCTCACATTTTTGGGCAGTTTATCACAGGGCTGGAAAGATATCTGTCCTGCTTCTAATCAGCTAAGAGAATGGAGGAGGGTTTTTTTTCAAAATTGTCAGTACCAAACTGCTAAAACACTGTTCTGTTTATGCCTTGTTCTCTTCACTGTTGAGTGGGATAAATCTCTGGACAAAAGCCACCACAAAACATGGCTTATTCTGCCCCAGGCTAACACCTGTCAAGTCTGGCCAAGTCAAGTCAAACCTGCTGGTACCTCAGAGAGAAACTCTCAGCTGGAATCTTCAGGACCATGGGTACACCAGGGCTTTTTCCCTGCTTCATCAGCAGGTGACTGGCTGCAATAACCATCCCCTTGGTGTGGCAGAGCAGCCAGCTCCTGGAGGCAACAAAGGAGCAGCGTGAAATCACTGAACTCAAGAACACTGGGGCTGCGTGGCCTCAGAGATCACTCAGAGCACAAACCAAAAGGAAAAAAAGGCTCATTAGTTGAGGCTGGGACTGTAACTAATACAGAAATTATTTTCCTATTGCACAATCTCCTCCTTGCACACAGTTTCATGAGGTTTCCTATTCCATGGAAGAGGAAAACCCCCAGCCAAAATGCAACTTTCAGAGCTGTGAAATGCAAATGGTTGTTTCAGTGGAGCAAACATGTTCAAAGAACGTGATCACCAGAAGAGCAGACAAGGAAGCAGGGCCCCAGCATTTGAACAGAAAGATTATTTTCACGATGCTGTAGCTCAGTCTTTATTTGCTCTGCATTCAGCATGCACTGGCAAGGTAAATTATTTTTTACAAGTTTTTTTTTTTTTTTTTTGAAACAGAAAGAATTGCAAGTCTTTTAGAAGTGTTGAGAAGTGGTGATGACAGGTAAACTTGGGATAAAACATCTGCCTGTGTGCTCAGAGATGTATATTTACCAGGTGGTTAGGTTTAATTGTTAAGAACTTAAAACCAGTAAAGGAAAAAGACCTGAAGGCCACAGCTCCTTACATTTGGTACTTCAAGGTCACTGAGGCTGTCAGGTCCTGTGAGGGTGGTGATGGCAACAGGGTTGACTCAATCCAGTTGGTCAAACTCTCCCTTCCATATGGAGTGGACAACGGCTCAGTGGTGGTAAATGATGAGGGTGAGACCAGTGCCAGGGAAATGTTTCCTTTGGTAAGTGTTTGTGCTAGCATAAAAATTTCCTCTTTGAGTGGTAAGAGATTTTTGGTTTTTGGTGGTTTTTTAATCCAAGATGAGTAACAGGCAGAATTCATCAGCCCTCTTACTCATTTCATCCAGACAGGCCTTAGATTCCCTCTGCACCATTTTTGGTCCATTAACCTCCCTTTGTATTGCCTTCTATTTGCTGCATATGCCAATACCACACTTGACCTTTTTCAGGGCTGTTTCAGGAAGTTTTATTGACTTCTGTAAATGCTGTCTTGGAACAGACTAAGTAAGTCACAGTTCCTAAATGAGACAGCCCAGAAGAGCTGAAGTTTAGTGCAATGTAGTAAGGAATGGCACAGAGTGTTTCTCTTTCCAGCCAGCACAGCTAGAGTGTTGGGCTCCTGCTTTTTGGGGATGAGGAAGGTGGCAAAGCAACTGGCTTGGCACTAGTTAAGGATTTTAGCTAAAACAAACACATTCTTCTTGTAAAGTCACTGCAATGAACTGGTATTTGTTCAAGAAAATATCCAGTCAGAGTATCCTGGTCCATATCTACTTCAGCCATTTTTTTTCAGAAAGGTACATGTACATTTGTACTTACACAGGTGAGAACATGCTCCTATATTGCTGCTCTGCTGCTTCTGCATATGGACTTTCCATTCCTGGGGCAGCTGCAAATGCCAGCTTTTCCTGCTTAAAAAAAAGGTCATTATTACTCCAGCTCACCAAAAAAAGATTTTAGTGCACTTAAAATATGGAACACTAAAAATGAACTAACACAACAGAGAATCAAAGTCTGAGCAAGCCTTCCTAGCCATTAATCATGGAAGCTATTAGGACCAACCTGGATGAAAGACAAAGTCATAATTAACTTGACATTAACAGCACATTGATGCAATACCACTAACGTTACTCAGAAGAATCTTAAGATTTTGAATATCCCTTCCTGCAGATGCTATGAAAAACAGATTCAGGCTGAGATAAATCAGAGATTGCAATAAAGTCTGTACCTCTCTTACTGACAGAAGAATTCCCTCTAGTACCTGATCTCAGTCTCCTGCAAAAAAGTTTCAGTCCATAGTTGCTTTTATGACAAATGAAACAAGCAAGCAGATGTGGCCAGAGAGGTGACAGTGTGCAGATTTTTTGATAGTTACATCTTAAATTACAGCATGATTATGAGAACACTAGTTTATTATTTATTACATGAACTGTATAGTCTAGTAGTTAATAACACTATCAACACCCTTTATAAATGCCAGAAGGTTTTTATCTTGAAATATATTCTTTGTCTTCTTGATGCTATTTGATACCACCCACCTCTGAGACCCACAAGACAGAGAAACTACCACAGCAGTCCTGTATCAGTTAATATTTTTAAATAGCCCTCCATATGAATAAAGATGCAACATGCAGTGCACAGTTTAATTAGTTTATTTTTTAAAGTTCTGTCAGAAATATAGCTGTGCATTAATTACAAAATATATTAAACTATCAATCAATTCATCCAAGGGAACAGGAGTACTCTCATTTTGTTCAAATGCAAACCAATACAAACCTTTAACATTGACACAGAATAATCTTTTGCATCCATCATCAATGTATTTGGTCTGCTGCCATCTCTAAATAAGAACAGAACGGTCACCCTGATTTCATTTCATTAGCAAGCTGAATCCCTTGATAGCAAACATGACCAGACACATCATGAAACTGCTTAAAAAACAACTCTACACATCTCACATTATCTGAGCTCCCACATATACATTACATACCAACATTTTTAGCAAAATAATTTTCCCTGCCCTGCAGGGGAAGACATTCAGAGGCAAAGAGATAACATGTTCATAATATATTATAATTGGAAAATTTGTGCTATAGCAGCTCTGAAAATACACGTACTAAGAGTGGGCGACTTACCATGTTAAAGATAACAGAAATTCAGAAGATAAAAGAAGCTAAGACACTTTTTAAACCACCTTGAGATCTAGTAATGCTGCAAAGCATTGATTTACAGAATGAAACCCCACTGCTGAACAAGTTACACAGGACATGGGTTAATTAAAATGTTTCTTTGATTCAGTGACAAGTCAATGCTGTGGACCTTTCTCCTTCCATTTAAATCGTTCTAGCAATTATACCTCAGTCCACCATGGTAAAACAAGTTTTCAAAAGAAGGTTTGTAGAAAGGGGAAAGGAAAATGGAACAAGTACATGAATAAATATTTAATTAACATTTATATAGTCTTTTTTATGACAGTAAGATTTAACTGATACTTAGAAAATTAGCTCTGACAGTCTCTCTTGTAATACTCTGATATTACAGTAATTTGTCATCACTCAGAGTTCTAGTTGGTAATATAAAAATATAAAACCAGTAGAATAGCAGCAGTGAATAAAGCATCCATATTACTATGGCCAATACAGAACTACACATGCAGTAGCCTTCTATTCCCTATTGGCTTGTGCTATTGTACAATTTTAACCTGAATCATTTAAACGCTGCCACCACAGGGAGTTTCCTCCTCAGAGGCAGAAGTACATCAGATCTAGCAGATAAGACTCAAAGCAAAAATTCCATTCAAAACGCAAATCTTCAAAAGCAAAGAAAGTGTTAATGCATTTAGTGGGTCTTGGGTACAAATAAGCTGAACAGACAATAAGGACATTTTTCTTTTCTATTCAAAGACATTTTCTATTTCCAGGGCTGAGGAAGGACCTGGAGTAGGAAGAAGCTCTCAAATGATAAGTGTTTTTTCTCCCCCTCCCTCCCCTCCTGCCCCACAAAAAAACAAGAAGGGAAACAAAAGAGAATGGCAGTTTTTGAGCATCTTGAACAAACACCACTAGGTAACACAGCCTGAAAATGGAGAACATGTGAACAGTGCCTTCTGTGCAGAGTGGCTCTGTGCACTGCCATGGACATTGACAGCTCTTGGTTAGGAATGGCTTTAATGGGAGTGCTCCAACTACAGACACTCCAGAACAATTCAGCTGCTAGGATGAGGCTACTCATTATAAAATCTACTTTGGTTTTAAAACTGAGATCTTTCCCTATTTTGAGAAACATGCTCACCTGTCCCCTAATGACAGAGAATCAACTTAACTTAAGTCACCAACAACTAACTATATTTACCATTAGCCAGGAAATCCATGTTTCAGTAGTGACAATACTCCATTGAACACAATCCCTCTTCCATCTAATAGGTTCTACTAGCAGAAGAAATTTTACTCATTTGGATATAATGAACAAAGTGGTAGTTTGGGTCCTGGAGCTTTTATCTCTCATGCAGGCAGGCAGAGTATCCTCCCAAACACTAAAGTATGGTAGTCTTTCTTTAGTCTTGTTTATATTAAGCAATGTGCCCTTTCCCCACTGGTATTGCTTTGATGATGCCAAATAGTTGGAACACTCTTCAGTATCTCTTAAGCTGCAGTGTCTCCAGTCTTTAGGTTGTTTCACTAGCTTGGATAAATAATACACATAAGCTCATGCATCGTTTAGTTCTTTCTTCAGTATCTGGACATGTACTTAGGTTATGGGGTGAACAAAACTTTTTTCTTCCCTCCTTTTAAAGACAAGATTCAGAGCTTTATCAGCACCATGAAAGTTAAAATTTTTAGCACCAGTGTACTTGAACTATCCAGCTTTGACTGGTCAAAACTAACATTTACATGGCATACAATCAGTACAGAAAACAATACTACACACAGCATTAGGAATCTCTTTGACACAGTGAATCTAGTGTTTGATAAAGCAGTAACTATGAAAGCCAGATTTTCTTCCTAAAAGCAAACAGGATTACAATTTTTCCTCACAATGCTGAATTAATAGGCTTTCCTTAACATCCAGATTGCTGAGTTGGCCCAGCTCCTGTTGTCTAAAGGGACAGGAAATACCCACAGCAGCTGGATGCTGATATGGCCAGCTGCCCACAGGGGATGACTTGGGTACATCACCCACAACACCAAGAGATCACTTGAACAGATGCTGGCCACAAGTTCAGCTTTGGTACAAATTCGGGTTTCAACAACAGTAAAACAAATTCTGCATCACCCTCTCTGTTCAGTACATCCCTTTGCTCATGTCTGCACTCACAACCTGAAACATGTCCAGCACTAGGAGATCCCACCAGCACAAAGGGATTTCATTCAAATGCTAAACTTTCATATCTCTTGATGATTGTGGTTGACATTCTGGGCCTAGAGCACACACTTCTAGAAAGATTTATCAAAATAAAGAGAATTAGGGAGGCACCTTCAGACCACATTACAAATATTTCTTCAGTGAACTCAGCTCAGAGTGATTTAGCCTTCTCCACAACATTACCTCGTATCTTTTGGAAATACCAACATCAACTCTGCATCAACATGCAACTTCCTGAAGGAGGAATGGGTCAAAGCATATCTGAACCCTTGGTGACATGAACAAAGTCTTAACCCTAACTTCAAACTTCAAGAGACACATAGCCAATGCAAAATTCTAGATAAGTCAATACAGAAACTGTCTCTACTTTCCCAAGCTCTGTGAAAAGTAAAAAAAGAAAAAAATCCCTCATCTTTATTAATTTCGTTCCTTCCCTGCAACAGCATCTATTCCAAGGCACTGAGGTGAAAAGACTTACAGGTCTATTTGATATGACTAAAGTTTTACCAAGCTGAGATGCACAGGTTCTGCAATAGGGTTTTCCTGTAGGCAGTTAAGTTTTGATTCACACTTCATTTGTTTAGCTTGCTACAGAAGTAGCTTATTATTTTAAGAGAGAACCTTACCAAATATTTAAACATAGGACCTCATATAGAGAAAAATATACCAGCAACAACAAAGTTCCATTCAGGTGAAGATCAACTGTGTTGGAAACTACGATCTTTTACAAACCCAGCCTTTGTGGACAATGAAGCTGTTTTGTGATCCATGTGGAAAAACACGAACAAAGCTCCATTGCTCTGTTAAGACTTGCAGGCTACATGGCTCCATCAGTACTGCGGGCCTGGAAGCCTTCTCTGCGGACACTGTTCAAGTCCAGGCGCGTGAGTACCTCGCAGCGCACCAGGAGCGTGTCATCCTTGATGAAGGTTCTCTGTTTCAAGGTCTCCAGGTGCATGAAAGTCACATAACCAAAACCTTTCGGATTGCGGTGAATTGTCGGTCTCTGGAAGGCCAGTAGCTCTGGCTTGGTTTCCATCACCTCTTCATGGTTCTGCCTTTCTGGGCCTTCTGATTGATCCAAAATAGAAAGTCGAATGGTGCCTTGGAAAGGCCAGGGCAGGTGGCTGTCATATTCCCCTTGCATAGTGTGCACAAACAGAGAGATAAAATTAGCACAGCGCTGAGCATTTGGTAACTGGATATGCAGGCGCAAGCACAGCTTGTAGCCAGGCTTCCCCGTATAGAAGCCGGGACTGTGTATCACTACAGGTCTCTCTTCTTCCTGGGCTTTCTGCAGTCCACTGAAGTTCTCAATCTTCCAGATATAAATACCAGTACATTGTTGTGCCTCCATTTCAGTAATCTTTCCCTCCAAATTTCGTATAGTACGTTTGAGTTCTGCCATGTGAGTGTTCTGAGTCTCCATTTTAGCAATGAGTTCCCTGATTTGGTGATCTTGTCTCACCAGACGACCTTCCAACTGCTGAATAGTTTCCTTGAAGTTTTCAACTTCTGGATTGCAGTTGTATGCGGCATGTGACACGTGTGAGAAGAGGGCAGGCTCAAAGGGCAGGCCATTGAGGAAGGGTACAGGATTTGCAGCAGTAACACTGATGTTCTGAAAACTCTGAGCCATCATCCTCATGTGAACCTGAGTGAACTCCTGCATATGTCGTGCCAGTTCATTCCTTTGCATCTAGGATTTAAGAGACAGAGCATCAGGAACACATCAAACATCTGCAATCACATTTTAAATGTGGTTCTGAGAAAATCAAACAAGTAGTTGCTTTTGTCATGTGAGAAAAGCTGCAGTGAATCAAGGACAAAGGCGTGACAAAATAGCACTTTACCAACGGAGAGCTGCAAATTTAAAATGACTGTTAGGAAAAACTGAAAAAGAAGTTCAAATACCAGTGGGCAAATCACAGAATCATTTAGGTTGGAAAAGACCTTGATGGTCTTTGTGTTTTTGGCCTGATGTCGATACAGCTGGGGTTCAACAAAAGCATAGATATGAGGTGATTTCACCATAAAATTGCAAACCTGGGAAGTTAAGATAGAACTGACATAGATGACTGCAATATAAATCAGGTATGTGCATTATTGTTTTTGTTGGTGCGGGACTTTGGGATGTCACAAACATATTCTTGTTAGAATATTTATCATTAGTAACAGCATATTGTATAGTTGCATAATTCTATGTAATGTTTAATAAGGGAACCTTTGATTGTATTTTTACAGAAGCTGCAGCATCTCCAGGAAAACAATAAAATTTAAATTCTCATGTATTCAGGGTCACCTTCTTGTTAATAAGCATTCATGATAAAAAAATTCTGGTTTTGTAGGAGTGATAATTTCCCTATGAATCCATCATTAATTATGGTGTACATTTTCAGTAACACTGTTCAACTCAAAACAAAGACATAGTGAGAGACTGCTAGTGATAAATGTATTTAGAATTTTTCTGTGCTCTAAATCGGCACTGTATTCCCTTCACTGATTTGCTAAAATGCTCCAGAGTACCAAATGGTGTATGAAAACTGATGTGGAAATGAAGGGGAAAGACCCAATTTTACCAAGAGGTATTAAAAACTAGAAGTAAAAGTATCTAGATTAACAATTTTAGAATTTAATAAAATTGATTTTCTTTAAAGAATTCTAAGAGTCATAAGCGTATTTCGCCACAACTTTTTAAGAAGTGCTAGAAACTACTTTTTGACATGAAAGCTGAGAAAACATGAAATAATAAAACCAAGGTCATCAAGCAAATTATTCACAGAGCTTTTTAAATTTGAAAAAGCAATTCTGAAATGCAAAGTATCAACATGCACTGCTTTAGAATTAAGATACCTCCAAACAAAAAACCCACAACCACACATCACTGAGGATTTTGGGTTGATGAATGAGACCAGACTAGGAAAACACATTACAAAAGCAACCAACAAAATCATGCAGACAGTTTGCAATTCATTAGTTACTGAAAAAAGGCTTACCTTTTCAGGACACCCAAAGGCACTGTAAAAACATGGCACTGGGGCAGTAGGACAATCATTGTCATAATGGTTAGGCATCTAAAACAAATCAGATTTCATATTACTTCTCCATCAAGAGTATTTTCTTATCCAGAAAGGATACAGCTGGATGGGTTTTGAACAGAAAAGTTCAAAATGTACCTGAAGTCAGATCAGTTTATATCTATGTAAGTTCTTAACAGAATATGGAAGTTTTGAACAGAAATGTTAGCTGATGATAAAAATTATCCATCCCACTTGTATGTACTATAACAATTCATTGACTTTGTTCTTACATTAGGCCTCAGAAAGCATTCAGGTTTCCTTGCTAGACCAAACACTTTTGTTTCTAGCCTACCCTCCAGCCAGGTCACATTCAATTCCTTCCCTTCTGAAGGACTACTTGCACAGTAGTATTATTGTGTCACTCTTTATTATCATCTTCCTCAAAAAGTTCAAGTTATTGCAACTCTTTTTGTGGTCCATGTTTTCCAGATCCAGGATGAGTCATCTCACTGCTCTGGATCCTGCCTATCCACCCTCCTTCAAAAGCACAACAACTTCAGCTGATGCCTACGAGTCCTAAACAGAGCAAAGGATAATTCAGTGTTTCACAGGCAGAATCCCTGTTTATATAACCCCAGGTGTTTGCCTTGTTTAAATATCATGAGGAAGCACAAGGCTAATAAAGACCAGCTATTATTACAAATGTTTAGCATTCTTTGTTCCCCACTTCTGCAATTCATTATTCTACCTAAAAACAGACTTTGTCATTACTAAGCTCAATCCTGTTTCTCAGAGTATTTCGCAATTTTACAAGATCATTCCTTATTTTAACCCAGGCCATCAACATAGTTGCCATCCCAAATTAAACAAATCAATACTTATCATTTTCCTGCCAATTAAGTTATTATTGAACAGAAGAAATAATAATGGCTATTACAACAGTCATGGACAAGCAGAATTCCAGCCAGCACCCCAGTTTGATAGTGAATTTACTTATAGCTACTTTCCAATAGTGGCTTTGCAAGTACAAAAACTCCCCCTCTCTGCCCAAATCAAAGCCTCCTCTTGTAATGTCAGCCATAACCACTGGCAGTTGGTATTTTTTCAACTCCATTCAAGATCAAAGACATGCAGCATGGCCCCTGTCAAGAAGCAGTACAGCTGAACATTGTGATGTGCAGCCAAAATCCTACAGAGGTTTGCCAGACTGCAACTGCAAGCTGGAGCAGCATTTAAGGGAGTATCACACCTGCACTGGACATTTTCAGAGAGGCAGGTAGTGATTTAGCAGCTAGTAGACAAACTGTATCTCCAAGTTTAATTTCAGATTAAAGAAGCAATGTAAAAACGAAGCATCTGACTTGGAATAAACAGAGACAAAGGGAGTCTCTTACCTGCTCCCTGATGAGCACCGTGTTGCAATATTCACAATATATATTGGCAAGTGGGCAGGTCTGGTCATGAAGCTTACGTGATCAAACAGAAAAAAAAATGGGGAGAAAACATCAGTATAATTACTCAGTTTAAGAGAGGGCTAATCACCCTTGATCAGACCTAAGATTTTTATTTATATACCTAATTTTGCATTTAGCTATATGCAGCTGTGAAACAAAGAGAATCCCTTTACCCTAAACAGTATGTTTTACATTACTGTTTTTTCCTGGACTTATACAAGAGATTCATAAAGTTGTAGATATTTTATTTCCTAAAGCTCTTATGCTTCAAAGAAATCTGATTTTAACCATAAGTTTCTAAAATTCATGTTCAATTGTATTGGAACTATATGAAAGCACTTGTTTGTTTTTTAATTGTATTGTTGGACTATATGAGGTGCATTTGATTGACAATTCACAATATTAATATCCAAGAACATTCAATAGTCATTGAGATAGAACACATCCATATAGAGATAAAGAAATGGCACCAGCAAGAGGAAACTATTATTCTCAGTATCACCCAAGTGAAAAATGCAGAGCCAGGAGAAGAATTCAGAAATTATCTTGGTCTTGTGTGGTAGCAGATATCCCCAAAATAGTTATCTCCTGGTACATCCCTCTCCCAAGCATAAAAACTGCACATGTAAATACTGCTTTTTGTGTTCCATGGGCAGTAGATACAGCCTGTCTGATGGTAAGGTCAGAAATCAGTGGTTCTTACACAAGTCCACAAGTCTCCTCACACCACATGGCTCCACATAAGTTTGTACTTAAGGACAATCTCTCCCCTGCTTTTGCCTGTTCTAGGCTCATGTTCTGAGTTTGCAGCTTCTCAGATGTGCAGCAGCACAAAGAGCTCTTCTAGACCAAAACCTTTCAGCTGGTTTTCTTTTTTTTTTTTTTTTTTTGTTTTTTTTTTTTTTATTGCTGTTCCCTTTCCAAGCAAACCCATGTGAATGCAGGCTGACAAACTGAGACTCCTGCTAAATACCTCTTTATCCTCATAGGCCATAGATGTGGCACAGTTTGGGCAACACACTTGACGCCTCGGACACTCTTGGGTCATGTGCTCCTTCAGACGGTTCTTTGGGAAGGTTCCTTGGCACTGCAGGCATTCCACAGTGGAAAAATCACACTGCAGCTGGTGGTCCTGCAGAAGGGCAGAAGAGGGATTTGATATTTCAAATCAGCACAATCATCTCATCCATTTTCAAGAGAAAGCACAGTGCAAGACAAACGAATCACAATCTTCCCTTCATGCAAGGAAATCCTTATACACTTATGCTGACTCTACCAACAGCCTGTTACTGTCCCACTACTAAGGTCAGCGCTTCATGTATTCAGAGCTTAAGAAAGCTCTCAGTAAAAATTTAGTTTTATATTTATCCTTTTAACTGCATATATTATTTTCCAAAACAATTATTTCAACTGATATATGTAGCTACTTTGAGAGACTATTAAACTGACTTTAATAAACTTGTGTGATGCACGGATATAGCTGATCAAAAGGCTGACATGAATGATCCTCAGCAGAAAGCTGCGTTAGCACAATTGTCATGCACTGCGATGTTCACTTGAGAATCACCTAACTACAATTAAATACTCATTAAAAACCAATATGTGTAGCTATAATCTTGAAAGAAAAATGCACTGAGTCAGCATAAATGAGTACCAGGTATGACCATCTATTTAAGTTATTTCAAATTTTTACTTGCCCATGAAAACAAGGTTCCATATTTTCAAAACTACTTCTCACCTCTAAGTGCCTGAGCTCCATCTTCATGCTGCAGCCCTTGTTGGGACATTTGACCATTAATGAAAGGATTTCCCGTTTGGCAAAGTTGTCAGGAAAAAGCTGATTTTCAAGCAGAATTTCATTGTCTACAGGACATTTGTGGCCTGCATCTCTACAATGCAGAAAAGCAAGGAAAGATATCCACTATTACCAACAGAATTCCAAGCACTTAATTTAAAATATTTTTACACCAGCAAGACATTAGTGGCCAAATAATAACACAGTAAGATCTTTAAAAACAATGGTATTTATGTGGCAATGACCAGAAAATATGAAATGTATTTTAGAAAAATTGAAAACACACAGTTTCACTGGAGGTGGCATGACTGGGGTTGCAGCACTTCTCAAACTCAAACACATTTTATTTGTACAAATGGCATGTTAAGTACTCAGGAAACAAACTTGAGGAATATGTAAAGATACTAAGAACTTATAGTCCTTTTTCTGCAAGTACTTCACATAGCTCAAACATCAAAGAATATTTCACATACTACTTTAAAATAATTACTTAAACTTTCTTAGACCTCCTCTCATTTCCTTCTCATTTTATAAACAGCCAAGGTGACCACAGCTAAGAAAAAAACCAAAACTCTTTTTTGCAGATTGACTTCATCTGTTTGGCATTACATTACACACTGCTCAGTTTGCTGGTTTTGTTATACAACCATTTGATCAGTTGGTCATCCTTCAATTTCATTATACAGCAAACAGGGTGAAAACCTTCAGACACAAAAATTATTAGTAACTATGAAAATTACACTGTGTTGCATCTGAAGCCATTTTAACAGCAAACAGACTGGAAGTCAGTGCTAACTGGTGAAGGTTTGGAATCTGATGGAACATGGATGCCTGCAACCTGCACAAGGTAACTAACAGCCTGTTCCAGTTCATCAGGTTCTGTCTGCCTGCATGTACATACAAAAATCATTAGAAGTAGAGTAAAAAAGGGGATCACCTCCAACAAACTTTCCAGTATCAGCTCATTCTGAAAGCAGTAGGCTAACATATTGATTCACAATTAAGTAATGCAGTTAAAGAGGCATGAGGGATCAAAGCTCCCGAGTGCTAATGGAAACAGCAATAAAATGGAAATAATACATGGGGTGGAAAAATGTCAGAGAGCACTTGTGGTGCAAGGATCAAAGGCCAGATCATTGTCACTGCTTGCAAGCACGAGGGGAAGTAGAACCTAGTGGGCTGTGGAGACCGGGAAGGAATTTATGTTCTTTGTTGGAAAAGGAAATAATTGCTCAGCAACTACATCAGCAACACTGCTACAGGAAGTGGAGGTAAAGTTGCCACTTCAAAAAGAGGTAATGAACTTCCTTTCACAATTTTGCTTGCAGAGCAAGCTCACCACATGCCTGAGAATCATACTCCTAAACAAGTGCAAGAAAGAAAACATCTAGCTTGCCTTGTTTCAGAGCTCCCTGAGCTATGACCAGTGTGATCTTTGTCACAAGTTAGAAATGTTCCCTCACTTCACAACCTACAGGAAATCAGTTTTCACAGGTATAGCTTGGTTACAAACACCCTGTTTAGTGGAATATGAAGAGAGCTCAAGAGGCCTGCTGATAAGACAGCAGCTTTATTTCTACAAAGAAAAACTAATCATTAATAAGAGCAGCCAACAACAGGTTAATTTGGAATAATGATTATCAAATCCCCAGTTTAAATAACTAGCAGATAAAGGGAAAAATAGGAATGAAATGCAATTTTCCTAATTAGGAAAGCGTAGCAGAAAAAAGCAGTAACTCATTTTAGGATATTAAACAGGCTTCAAATACTATTTACAAGGCTCAGGATTGTGTTTAAAACACTGCTAAGATCCATCTACATAGATGTTGCTATGTATTTCCTGTGACAGAATTGAATTTATGCACCTCAGTTCTAGCTTACATTACAGTGAAAGCTTTCCTATGCTGGCATTATTTATCACATTGCACTCTGCCACTCACAACAGTACCTGTGAAACAACAGTCATCTGCTACAAAGTACAATGAATATTCCTGTAAATTCCCTTGAGATTAAAATACCGGTATCAAGAGCAAAACCAGAATAATTTTGAAAGAAAAGCCTGCCCAGTGATTTTAACAAGTGAGCGATTTAGCCGAGAAGCTGAGACAGTTGGCAGAGACTTTAAGTGCAGCCATGCCAGCTGCTGGAGGAACTGCCAGCACCCAAAGATGTCCCTGCTGCCCCTTGTTACCTCACAACTCTGCTTTTCCACTAAACAGAGGTTCTGATATTTGGCAAGCTCTACTACAAACCCTAAATCAGCTTTGCCCTAAGATACAGGAGAAGACTGGAGTGAAATTGAATTAGCTACTGCACCTGCAGTTAGTTCTTCTAAAATTTCCAGCAATATATTTTGTTGACAAGTAACATTCGTAAACACATTTGTAGTTACTTAGGTAGATAATCTTCTCCTCTTCCATGAATTATAGCACTTCAAAGCACTTCAGACAGCTTTATTTAAAAAGCTGCCAAGACTTTCTGGGAGGCAGACAATTACTGTGATCAAATCTCATCTAATGATGTCCTTCACACTGTAAGATTGAAGAGTCCAGTTTTTAAAAGGTTTTCCAATTTATTCTTTTCTAGTTGCAGCCACAACTTCTTCAACACAAACAACTACAGTTGTTTGTGTAAGTCACAAGAAGCAATTACTCAAAAAATGCTTGTCCATCCTTCATCATTTAAAATCCATAATCTCTGTGTTCACTTGAGTTAAGACAGTGGGGAAATGAGGAATAAAGAGAAACAATTTTTCCTGGTCAAATGAAGGCTGTGACAATCAGTGAAAAAAAGCAGTACTTAGAGAATGTAAAATATCCCTTTCTCTTTTCATTTTAGCTCTGTAGAAGCTTCTCAATAGCTCAATCAATCTGGTACTGTAGACAGTACATACTGCAAATCGATACCATACTGTAGACACTACATAATCCAAATCAATAGCTTGATCTATGGATACCAATTAAGCATGCAGTTCAGCCCTTCAGGGATTCAGAGAGGTCTGGCACTTCAAGCTGTCCCCCCTGCTTTCACAAACAGTCACTCAGACTGTCCTCCAAAGACAGAGTTCAGTGGGGAATGAGGGAAAACTTTTACTAGCAATGAAACATCTGAAGTATTACACTGATCATCTACAGTCTCAAGAGAAAAAAATGCTTTCCACCTTGTTTAGTATTCACTGAAACAGTCATCACTATTCACAGAAATGAAGTAAAATACAGAAAAGGCATAAAAGAAGCAGAAACTTCTGGTCATGGTCCTTTCCATGGAGAAATTCTTCCAGAGAATTTATGTAGCAGAAACTACAGAGAAGCCACAAAACACTGTATTCAGAGAACATAACTGCTGGCATACTATTCATTTAGAGAGCTACAAATGATGGATAGGGAAGAAAAAGAAATGAAAAAGAACTATGGACAAATGGTATGAAAGACCAATCAAGAAAGCACTGTCCATTTTGCATGCTATAAAATAAATGCCAGGGGAAACCACAGTAAAAATGAAGACAGTTTAATGATCTTTACAAAAAGTGTGCAAAGTAAGGTTGAAAATTCTATATATGGGTCACACAGAATTGAATATATAAATTCCTACCAAAGTGACATTTGAGCTATCTGAGCAATTGCTAAGAAAAAAACTGGGCTTATGCTGAAAAAGGAAAAATCCTACAGCATAATATCTATCAGTGTAATCCAATACTCACTCACACGTGTGGGACACTGATGACTTCATTCCAGGCTTAAGGTAAGTGCTCTCTACAAGGTACTCTCTGCCCTTTCTTGCTCTTTCATTTTTATATGCCTTTGTGTCTTATTCCCAATCCCTCATATGCCACCTGGTTTCCTCTCTCAATGCTTTGTTCAAAACTATTCCCTCATCACATTCTCTCTTCCAGCTCTAGAAGGAAGCAGCTAATTTCAAGTGAAGAACTGAACGCATGAATTGCCTTATCTGCAGCAAGAAATCAGGCTGTCTGTAGTTTCCTGTAGTTATCAAGAGAAACAATCATAGGCAAAAGACAGGTAATTTTATAATCCTGAGCTGGAAATGGAATTTATCTGGGGGACTTGTCTGTCTACCTTTCCTTTTATAATTATTATTTGAAGTTTAATCAATTTTTTAGATTCATAACCTGGGTAAATTTGTGGAAATGGCAAACCATCTAAACCTCATAAAACTTCAAAACTTGTGATATTCTGGCCACACAGAGCACCTTTAATGAATAATAAATTTCCATATTCTGTTAGCATTCATTGCACACCTTGGGCAGCTCTATGCACTTTAGATTGACCTTAAACTGCTCCGGTACATGAATTTCTTCTTAAAAACAGCTTCCACAAGTTTTCCTTTACCTTATGGATTTGACAATGCAGCCTTTGCAGAAACGGTGGCCACACGGCGTCTGCACCGCTTCCCGCAGAGCCATCAGACAGATGGGGCACTCGTATTTACTCTCCAGGGGCGGGTCGAACTCCACGTCGTATCCCTGCGTCTCCTCGGTGAAGGAGGCGGGCGCGCTGCCGGCGCCGCTGCCCGCGCTGCCGCTCTCGTCCTTGGCGGCGGTGCTGCAGGCGCTGGCCATGGCCGCGCAGCAGCCGCTCTGCGCCTCCCGCGCCCCGCAGCTGCCGTCGCTGTGCAGCAAGCTCATGGCAGCCGAGCCGCGGCCACACGGCTGTGCGCTGCCAAAGGGAAAAAAGACGGGTTAATTTCAAGTATTTCGAACCCTCCCTCCCAGGCAAGAACAAAATTTATTTCCAGCCAGAAATACTGGAACAGAATTGGTTCTGTTCAAAATCACTGGTTTTGTTTTGTCCCCATTATCTTTTTATGCTTATCTTGTGATATGTAGGAAAGGACACTGCATCCTGTCAGCGTAGTCCAAACACTCCCCCCGCTTTCTGTAATCTCTTTCATACAACTGATTTCTGTAAAAAGAGAAATCATTCCTCTTTGTCCTTGCTATGTCTACTGAAGATATTTCTTTATCCCTTCCATTTAACTTACTTCTAAAGACATTCAAACAGACTTTGTGTGGAAAAAATGCCATACAGAATCATGTTTTCTTGGAGGACAACAGCTCAATTCCATATTTTCCTTACAGTGCATATATGTTATTTAGCATTTTCTGCATCAAGCAATTCACAATACAGATTTCAAACCAACTTAGCTGCAGAAACACAAATAAAATATAAGTCCAAGAACCTAAACCAAGCAGCTGATGTGCTATAAATGAAATTCAAATATACAGCACTGCTGATAATATTTTAGAACTGCCAGTAGGACTTTAAATTGACTACGAAGCTACACATGAGATAAGGATAATAATTCCACAGCTCAAAAGCTATCTACAAACTACTAGTACTCAAACAGAGCTCTTGCTCTCCTTTCCCTCTTGCAGGCTAGCTGGCAGGGAGGACAAGGGACATGATTGTAAGAACAGAAGATAAAAGTCACCTTTCCCTGAAGAGTGGTGGATGGCATACTAAAGACTGCTTTTACAACACTCCTCCAAAGCAGGGTGAACTCATAGGTATGAAATGAAAAAGTGCAGCTATCTCCAAACAGATTGCTAGTGCTCCTACACAGAATGAGAGAACCTTAAAAAAAGGTCTTAACAACAAATACAAATTCTAAAGACCAAGAAACCTTTCTCTCCCCTGATTTTTTCAATGGTTACAATCATTTTCTTAGAATCCTGCTGCGGTTAGTTTTCTATAAATGACATTTCTTTGAAACACAGAGATTATCACCAGGTGCAAGGCAGTATGAGTAGTCTGAGGGTTATGGAGCCAGGCATGCAAAACATGCCCAATAAGCCCAGATTTGATAATCTTTTGCACAGCAGTATAGGCAAAAGTCTCTCGCAGTGTTCACCTAATGAATTCACTGTAATACCATTATGTCATTTAAAAAACATTAGGGATGGAAATCCAATCAAGAGATGAATCATAAGAAGTGTTTATCTGCATCACTACTGCAGACGCTGAACGCAGAAGAATGAATAGGATTACCTTGACCATGAACTCACAAAACTGAACGTTTTCTTGCCTATATCAGAATTTGAATATCACAACTCAGTTTTACAAAATGTTCATGGATAGGAAGAGGACATACAGGTAGTTTTATTTGGGTATTTATTTTATGACACCTTTAGTGCCACAAAATCAACAGAAATCACATAAGGCCTCAACTAGCATTTAAGGGAAATATATTTTGAACACATGCAAAAATCACAGGAATGTGCTTTAGGCCATCTACATGATAAACAACTGGCAATACTGCCCATGATAACACACTATGAGCTATTTTTTTCCAGCTACCCAGACCAAAAAAAGAGGTATATGTATCTAAAGAAAAGCAAAGTTAAATAAATATAAATAATATACAGAGTTGTATAAACATATACTCTGTTGTATAAATATATGACTTTCCACCTGGTTGGGGTATGCAGGGGTATGAGAAGTATCTGAAGAGCAGCATTCTTGACATTTCCAAAATACCATTAAGGTACAGAGCCTCAAAGCACAGGCTGACAGTTCTGACTTGTACTGAACTAGTCAGCAGTGCTCCCTTTCTGCAGAAATAACTCCAGAGCAGAACTGTCTGCAACTGCACCCAAAGAGTGCTGCTCACTTCCACTCCTGTTTTCCACCCCAATGTATTGTCCCTACACATTATCCACTACAACAGGCTTTATAACTGAGGCACTTAACACAACAGCAATACAAACTAAACACCAAGCATGCTCCCAGCAGCTGCTCCAGCCATAGTCCAGACATGACCAGTTTAATCCCACAAAGGCACCAGCTCCCCCAGTGACTTAGAATGGATGCAAAGGAATCAGTGCTTAGAAAGATGCTCTGTGTGACAGATTTTTTTTTTTAGCCTGCCATCAGTAGGTCTACTCTCTCCAGAGAAGAAACCCAGCTTGTTTCTACTGTTAAACATAACTTAAATAACAACTGCTGCAGAGGATGATCAGTCCATGGGCCACATCTCATGAAAAATCACAGGAATAAATTGGGTCAATGGAGTGGGAATGTTGGTATGCAGGATATTAAAATCCACAGGCCAGCCCAGGACTGAAAAATTCACATTACTCTAAGCCACAGAGATATATTTAGTGAGACTAAGGGAAGAGGAACATACATCCCTTTAGCAATGTCACAAAGGAATTCAGGAAGTCACAAAAAGAAATATAAAACAGCTTTAATCAAATTCAGCTGTCACATTAATTGCAAAGAAGTGCGTGACTCTTCTCTTGGGCTGTTCCCAGGAAAAAAAGTCCTATACTATTTACAATTCTGTTCTTACACAGGAGAAGCCAGGATCTGACTTGATACAATCTCACTAGTTGAACCTTTATAGATTTAAGTGCTATGCAAGCAGCGTCTCTTTGGCCATTTGAATTATTTCTACAGACACAGCAGGTATGTATATTCAGTCTACAGAAACAAACTGCCATAGAGTCAGTTTAATGAACCACTGCAATCAGTCAGCATCCTAGTCTGACACAAAAACTCCTTATTCAGTGATATACTCCACTCCTACATGGAGCTTTTTATCTGCATATGGCCAAGTGGTTCACAAAAAAAGAAGTGCACATCTTTTTAACTTGGGAAATTCAGACACAAAGAGACAAGGTGATTAAGAGCCAGATTTTAAACTTTGCTCATATTTTATCTAAGATAGAATTCCTCCTACTACTCTTATCCATTTCATCTTCTCTGTGAGCAAAATCCTCCTTCCTCCACATATATTTTAGGTGTAGGGCAAGACGCAATCTTCCAAATCAAAATCCACACTGCTGTTACTCAGACAATTAACCAAGGCCTTATTACTCCACCATAGTTTAAACTAATTTCTGTACATGTTGTAACTCCTGCACTAGGAATTAGACCTGTTTCTTGTGGAAGTTACTTTATCCTCCGAGAATCGAGCATAGGTTTAATCTTTTTGGACAGAGCAGTGCTAGGACAAAACCAGCCACAGAAAAGTGTACTTTGCATGGTAATGACAGGTCTTTTCCCCAGTGAAGGTAGAGCACACAATCTGGGAGCTTACTGTAGCAGTTTTTCACTTTCCTCTCCTGGGGAATTCAAAAAATGCTTAGGCTGGAAAAGGATAGATTTTAAGCCCCAAACTGCCAGTGAAATAAAACTAAGATCTCCTAAAAATCACATCCGTTTTTCTTCTTATTGATAATAGATGCTATTCTTCCCCTGTGCTGAACAAAACCAATTCAAATGCAATTACAACTATGTCTAAATATTAATTTAAAATACCTTGTGTACACCACAGCCCTGAGAACTTATCCTTTTTTAAAATGTTCATCGTTTAACACATTAAACACTTTGCTAGACTGCTCTGTACCTTTTTTTGTTTCCACAACATCCAGCTTTCAGATCCAGGAACAACAGCAATTAAACAGGATCATTATGCGGTAATTCTTGCTTTTGCTAGCGTGAAGTTTCTAAGACAGAGAAGGTCTTAAACTACATTTGGTAATGTACCTGAAATGCTCTTTTCTAGAGCTAGGAAGTGCTGCCAGACCTGCTGACTGGAGATAATGGGCTTTAGCTTGGGCACAGAGGTACCCAGGCCTTGGGCTGGCAAAGGTTGGTCTCGCTCTCCAAGGCAACAGCTGTGTTGTTTGCCAACAGAAAGGAAGGTGCTTTCCATGCCAAGTGGTAATGGACAGAACTTGTTTGATCATTACCCGTGCTGCAGAAGTCTGGGAATGCCCTAAGGAAGAAACTATCATGCCCCAGAAAAGACAGTTAAAGGACAGTTAAAAGAAAAGGAGTCCTCGTCCCACTCTTCCAACTTCAAACCATAATTACACCTTTCTTCACTAAGTAACCCGTGCTCTGTTGCTATTTACACTGCTACATTACACACTGATTAGGCTGATGTGAGATAGCACTGTCAGACCAGAAGAGCAAACTCCTGCAAGAACAATGTATCTTATGATGGACAAAAACTACTTCAAAACAGAATTTAAATTGCCCATATTTTAAATTAATGCATGCAACAAAGCTCAGTACTCTGATTTTTCAACTTCTATAGCATAATGAAGTTTAGGTAGGACTTACAGATTTTCAAACACCAAACTCCTCTAAATAAAAAAATAAAAAAAAAAAAAAAAATCACTGGTATCAGAAAATATCTTCAGTTTTCCTGTAAAATCCCACTATCATTAAGAGTATTAGGGAGGAAGTAAAAGTAGGCATTGTACACTCTTTACACTGAAATATGAAATCCTATTTTCAAGCATTAACATAAGGAATACTGTGCAAGGAAGTATGAGTTGTTATAAGATACAATTTTTATTATAAATCAGGAAGTGCTTCATACAATTAATTTCCACATGACCTTTTCTGGAAAATTGACACTGACTACCCTTATAAATAATGAATCAATACAGAAAACTATTCCAAATCCTTTTTCTTACTCAAAGTTCACAAATATAATTAATTTCCTTGCAGCCTGGCCAGCACACACCCAGCAGGGGAAATGCCTTTAGCACTGCATCAACAGAAAAACTGACCAAACTCTTCTCTTTTCTTCAGCTGCCTTGTATATGTATGTATAGATTTCTGGGTCATGCGACTGACAGACCAGTGGAGTGACTTTGGATAATTTGTTTATGGAGTAATACTTGCAACACCAATTCCCAGGCACATTAATCAATGGTCTACTGATAACTGATAAGCACTACATGTTTCCAATAGGAGCTTTGTAGCTATCATCATATGGCCTCATCCAGGCAGAACACATGGAATTATGATAATGCCTTTTAATTAATACCTATAAAACACTTTCATTTCAAAGCTATCAAATGGCTAGACAAGCTGAAGCAATAGGAGATTCAGGCAGAAATTGTAACTGCAAAAACTAATTCTCATTTCTTGTAAAAGTCTGCAAGCATGTTGCTCATTTTGTTGAGATACAAACTTTCTTTTTTTCTAATAGCAGTAACCTTTCAGACATCCAAGTCTTTTGGACAACCACCCCAGTCACACCATTTTAACATGTGCACCTGACTTGAAAGAAGAATTTTTGTTTGAGGCAAAAACAAACAACATTCAGAGCTCACTAGACTACCAAGAGCTCCTGACTACAGCAGAGCAGCCCTTGGGGGTTTCTGAAGCCTTCCAGGTGATTTCTCTTTATTTGTAAAGAATGCTGTCAGGCTCTAATCACATAAGTATTTTCATGCTTGAATGTTACTTAGGAGACTAGACAGTGGCACACTCACAGTTACATTCATATTTTATCCTATTTAAGTATGTCGAAACAAATTTAATTTTAGTGAGCAGTGGAAGCATACAATACTGTATTTAAGACCAAGATATTCCATGGGTTTTTCCATAACAGAAAACCAAACCCAAGCCAAAATTCCCTGAAATTTTCTTCAGTTTATTAACTTTTAGACAGAATTTCCAGGGAACTGTTCAGAATAACGAATACAAGGGAAGCACTGTTAGTGAGAAGAACAGTACTATTTAACTCTTTACTTTGGCAGTGACTCTGGCTTCTGTTCTCCCTTTGCACACTGAGAACACAAGGAGATATGCATTATGCCTTTCTATACCCCTCAGTAGATCTACAGAGAATGTAAGATGCTGCCCTAGGGGGGACAAAGTAAAGACTCATAAAGCACTTAAAAAACAGGCAGGGAGAGGTATGGCTGTGAACAAATGTGATTTCCACAAGGCACAGGCTCCAGGCTACACTTAATTACCATCTACAGGCATGAGGCATTAGTAAAATGATGAGACCCTGGGAAAGCAAACAGTGAACTAAACACACATTCTGAAACAACTAAAACATTCTCACTCCACCTGACATTTACTTTTGTTTTCTTTTTGACACACTTTATAGCCGGAATATTTTATGGCTGGATTTCACAGTCTGGATCTAAAACTTTTTTTTTTTTAACATGTGCTTAGCTAATCTGTACTACTGAGATACAAAAGTTACCCTTCTTGATGTAGCTAACTCATGGAAGTTCAATAGGTGAAGAAAAGAATGCACATTCACCTCAGGTACTTTTTCATACTGAAGCTCTATCAGCATAGGTGCCTATTGTGTGTCTTGTCTTTCTAAATACAGTAGCAGTTTTCTAAGACAGAAAGCAGTACTGCAGGGTTGCAATGCTACAAAACTTAAAAAGCCATTTATGTCTTGACAAGTTCTCATTCAACAGAGTCTGACTAAGCTCCATGAACCTTCACTCGCTGGGAAAAGCTGTAGGTAGTGTGGAATATGCAGAAGAATTATGCCCAGAATGACACCATGAAAATAATCCAAGTGCTTTTATCAGCATACTTCTGTGACTTCCCCCCGCCCCCCCCCACCCCTTCTTCTACTAGAAGGACAAAGTTTTATGGCCTTTCATTCTATGGGAAGACAAAGCAGTCTGCTGCTTTTAACAGTCTTTTAACAGCTGGTGAACACAGTGCAAAATTCACCCAAAGCTTCAAATCAATACTTTATTAATCACTCACACTGGTATCTAAGACACCACAAAATCCACAGAGCTGAGGGGTAGCGTGCAGAAGGTGTCACAGGCAAACATGGGGGAATACTTTCGGCAAGCTTTAATGACTAGGTCTAAGGGATATAATTAGAACATTTTCCTCCCACCTACAGCTGAGATTTCCGTTTAAGTACGAAAAGACTCAGCGTGACTTCTCTGAGCCTGAGCCAGACGAAATTGATGGAAATTATTACTGAAGTCATAATTTCTAACTCCTGTTAATAAAGTTACCGTAAATATTAAACACTGCCAATCTCTACCAGAAAATAAGAGCTATCGGGTTTAGAAACAGTAACCTATCTTGCAAATTACCCTTTAACGCGTTCCCGAATAATTTACCGAGTGTCTCTATTTCACAGTGGGGAAGTCAGAGCCCAAGTTCAGCTGATGTGCTCGAGACAGGCGGCAGCACAGCTCGGGAGCCCCCGCCGCTGTCCGGGGCAGGGCAGGGCAGAGTCGCTGGGGCCAGGTTCCCCCGCCGGGGCAGGGCAGGACAGAGTGGCTGGGGCCAGGTTCCCCCGCCGGGCCACCCGGCGTGCCTGCGAGCCCCGGGCCGGCCGGGCTCAGCCGCGCTGCGCTGCCCGCGCCGCGGTTTCAATTCCGGAGCGGCGCAGGCCGGCGCGCCCAGCGCCAGCAGCGCTCGGCCCCAGCGCCAGCAGCGCTCTGCCCCAGCGCCAGCAGCGCTCGGCCCCAGCGCAGGCCGCCCGCCCCGGCAGCCCCGGCCAAGCGCCGAGCCCGGAGCTCGGTGGAAAGGGCCGCAGGGCTCCTCGGGGCAGGGCAGGAGGCGGCTCTCCTCCCCAGCCGGCAGCCCCGGCGCGGGGGAAAGACGCTCCGGGCGCCGCCACACGCCGGCAGCGGCCCGAGTCCAGCCGGGCCCTCGCTCCCCGAGGCCGGCGGCTGCCCCCGCCCTCCCGGCCGCCCCGCGCGTTCCGCCGGACTCACCGCGACCCGCGGCCGCTCCCAGCCCGCCGCCGCTTCCGCTTCTGCTCGGGAAGCGCGCAGCAGCCGCTCGGAGCCAGCGCGGCCTCCTGGGCGCCACGGCCGCTGCAGCGCCCTCTGCCGCCGCGGAGGGGCAGCGCCGCAGGGCGGGGGGGGGGCTGGCGGGAGCTGCGGGGTCGCTGTCCCCTCTCCCCGACACGCACAGAACTGTCACCACCAGCGGCTGGATCCTCCTGCCGGGGCGGGCTCCAGGGAGCTGCGGGTCCCTGTCCCCCCTCCCCGACACGCACAGAACTGTCACCACCAGCGGCTGGATCCTCCTGCCGGGGCGGGCTCCAGGGAGCTGCGGGTCCCTGTCCCCCCTCCCCGACACGCACAGAACTGTCACCACCAGCGGCTGCCGGCCGTGTTCGCTCCGCGCTGCTGATGCTTCTATGAAGAGACATTAGGATGCGCTCCGCTCCGCCCTGAGCGCTGTTAAAGACGAGGCGCTGAAAGCCGGGGCGTGGTGGGGGTGCTGTGTGTGCTCATGGCTTGGGAGTCGCCAAAAAGCCCTTTGTCAATGCCTGCCAAATGCTCCTGAGGAACGATTTCCTCTCCCGGCCCAGCTGTGCCGTGGGGACTCCTGCAGGCAGCGAGGCCGGTGCGCTGCCTCCCGGGAGCAGGGGGGAACCGCTCCCGGTGGCCAGGACAGCGGGCAATTGTAAGGAAGTGAAATACCGGGACAGTGCGAACACAGACAGATTCATTTCCGTAGGAACGAACGAGGGGAATTTGGATGGTTGCATTAGGGAGTTTTCTTGGCAAGAATCTCTGATTAACACACACTTAAATCCAACTCTTCCCACTATTTTCCGGGGATTTTCAGTGTTTCTGTCTGCATGCCATGCTCCCTGGGAGCTGGAAATCAGTGGATCGTTCCATTGCTAGAGCGCCTGTCTCCCTCTGCAGGGCGCTGCTCATGAAGGCAAGGCTATGCCAGACACTGCTGGTGCCCAAAACACACTTACATTTTTTGCTAGGACCTACCAAGAAGCTAAAGAGTTAGGAAAGAGAAATACCTGGGCTATCAGACAGGGCTCCAAAGAATCACAATAAAGAAATAACAACATTAAGGACAAATAAATAAATTGAAATTTTGTGGACCTGCTCCTGGACAACTGGACGAATTTCAGAACGACCCTTTTTCTCCTGCCGAGTGAACATACTGAATGCTGCTTTCATGAGCTGTAAAACGAGGAAATTTGTCACTGCATGGCTTTGTAAAACAGATATCCTTAGATGGAGAGTTTTGTATGTCTGAAAAATACTATTTGGTTTGGTTTTTTTTGTTTTTTTGTTGGTTTTTTTTTTTTTTTTTTTGTAATCTGCAAGGTATCAAGGGCAGTGATGTCCAACCTATTTTAACTGAGAATTCAAGGAATTTATCTGGAATAAGAATAAATTAATTATTTTATCCAGAAGGGTTTCCAGATCTGTAAGGCTTAGGCCCATTATCACGTATTCATTTCCATGCTGTAACAGAAATAAATGCAAAAATGCTTTTCTCCACTCGGTGGTGCCAGCTGCACAGGGAAAACATTTTCCAGTACTCAATCTGTGCAGCTTAAACTGTTCAGCAATTGTGCTCTTACGGACACAAAACATGCCCAAAGCTGTAGCAATTTGAGATCAATTAAAATCTTTAGCTCCCTGCTCTATCCCTAAGAGACAATATTTTTCCAAGGTGATTTCCTGTGTACTTGGAAGAAAAGCACTTGACTAGGCTTTTGTATGCCCATGTGGTTCCTTTGATAAGGAAGCTGATGCCTGTACAGTGGGGTTTTGGAAGGGAAAAAGGCTCCTGGGGGGACAGGACAGGCAGCCAGCCACCCGAGTGAAGTTTTGAATAAGCACCCCAGAGGGAGAGATCTGCTAAACTTCTCAAAGAGCCTCAAATTCCTCAATCCTAACAATGCACATTGTCAGGGAACTGTGTCTGCCATTTCAAGATAAGAGAGGAAATCAGTCTGTGACTGCAGAGAGTGATTTTGATTGATATCTGGCATTGCAGCTCGACCTGGTATTTTTTTTTTTTAAAGGTCTCTCCAAGTGCTAAGGAGTGAATAGTAAAATAGGTGGGTTGTTAGGAAGTTCGGGCAAAACAGCAGAGTAGTGAGCTCAGGCCCTAGCCATCTAATGTTCTCAGATGTCCAGAAATGCCTCAGCCATGACATCCTTGTCCCACACTGCCTTGACCTGGAATGACATCTAGGGCTTCTGTTCTACTTTAACCTGACACTCCCATTCAGATGTTTCTGATTGGGATTTATTTCATATTAGGGTTTTGTGTGTGTCAGAATTTGAGTAAGGATATTGACATTTGTCTCTAAACCCTTTTACTTTCTCAATGCATTGTATATTCCATAAACACTTTGTTTCCTTTCTCCATACATTACTTGCTTCAGCATGATTCTTTACACTGGTTTGCAGGTGCTGTTAGCCTTAGTGTGGCACAAAGACTCAGGACTAACCACTTCTCCAAGACATCATCTAACAAAAATAGCTTGAGTCAGAATGGCTGGAAAAGGACCTGGAAGTGCTGGTTGACAGCTCAAAATGAGCCAGCAGTGCCCAGGTGGTGAAGAAGGCCAATGGTATCCTGGCCTGAGTCAGCAATAGTGTGGCCAGCAGGACCAGGGCAGTGACTGTTGCTCTGTACTGGGCACTGGTGAGGCTGCACCTTGAATCCTGTGCTCAGTTTTGGACCTCTCACTACAAGAAAGACATTGCTGGGACAATGAGACTGGTGAAGGGTCTAGGAAACAGGTCTTATGACGAGCAGCTGATGCAGCTGTGGTTGTTTAACCTGCAGAAAAGGAGGCTCAGGGGAGACCTTATTGCTCTCTCCAACTGCCTTTCTTTCAAGGACATTGAACCAATGTGGGGTCAGGCTATTTCCCAAGTAACAAATGATAGGACAAGAGGAAATAGCCTCAAGCTGCACCAGGAGAGGTTTAGATTGGATATTAGGAAAAGTTCTTCACCAAAAGGGCTGAAGAGTATTGGAACAGTCTGGCAACAGAACCTGTTGAGTCACCATCCCAAGGGGATTTTTAAAACACATGCGGATGTGTTACTTAGGGAAAAGATTTAGTGGTGGACTCGGCTGTGTTAGGTTTGTGGTTAGACCTGATGATCTTAAGAGCCTTTTCCAACCTAGAGGCTTCTATGATTCTGAGAACTGAAAGCCTTGTAAGATCAGAGTAGATAAAAGAGTATGAGTCCTCTCACCTATTTTAGCTATAGCAAATGTCAAATATTTCAACTTTTGCTGATTTTTCTTCTGGCTGACATTAGATGCTGTCAGGTAAGAGACAGAGCATTAACTGGGAGATCCTGAGTTGCAATGTAAGCACTGTGGCCCCCCTCAGCCACTTTCTCAGGGAAAAGCTTGTAAGTCAGAACTGGATTTTGACCCCTGAAGGATCACAAAGTCTCTGGAAAAAGGGAGATGCCTGAGTGTTTATGCAGTTTTTCTGCTGTTGCAAATTCCTACACCTGGAGCATGAACTTACGTTTGTGTTTGAAAGGACCTGATGGATCACTAGAATTTTTGCACAATGTTGTGTGTGGAGACTGAAAACTTTCAGGGTGCTGTTATACGACAGCACCTTTCCACTTTGAGTCAGTTTTTGAGATAGTTGCTTTGTGGAAACTAAGCATAGGTTTTCTTCTTGGGCTTTCAGGAAAAGACTCTACTGGCTGCTGTTTGTGGTCACCTATGGCCCACACCTGGTGTAATACATACCAGTTACTCAATGAGTATGTAACTTTTATATTGATGATTTGTCCTGCCTGCTCAGGGCCTTCAAGACCCCAGATACACATTACTAAAGAGGTAATATCCATGAAAATTAAATACTGGTATCAGAAGCACGGACATTTTGTGATCCCTGTTGTCATTCACCCAAATGCAGAAGGTTGGCTGGGGAAGTGAGACATTGGTCTTCAATGAAATATCTTTGGTGTGGAACACCAAGGTGACCAAGACTACGTTCTCCTCTCAGAGAGTTAACAGTGAAGAAACCAGTTATGAAACTATAAAGAAGAAAGCTAAATGCTTTGTGTTAAAAAACAGTGCAGGTGCTCCTCAGAGAGTGTCTGCATACTTATCTCAGAGCCCAGGAGTCTCACACAAGACGACCTTGTTTATATGAATTTTGTGGTTAAGCCTCATAAATTGCCAGGTGCCACCTGGATTTGAGAGTTCTGTATTGTGTTCAGTTCAAATAAACTGTGGTTAGCACCAGTGTTGTATGGGGAACTCAGAGGGAGAAGGATAAGTGAGATAAACAGCACTGCAGTGTCTTTAAAAAGCAGAGGGAACACAGAAAGAGTGAGAGCACGCGTGAGAGACAGCAAACAAGCTTGACATTTGGAACAAACTGGGCAGGCACAGCAGCAGCTCTACAAACTGACAACGAGCTGAAGGTAGGCTAGAAGTATTAATGAGAGCATCCCAGATGCTTGTAGGACATCCCAGTGTTGGTTCCTTGTCCTGCTTTAATGGGCAGGTCAGTGATTTTATATGTGGTTCCTTACTTCAAAGATTGTTCTGTTCATTTTGGTGAGCCTTTTTATAAAGCAAAGTCTTACTTGATGTGAAGAAAAGTATTGCAATCTTGCTTGTCTTCAGAAATGTATGAAAGACTGTGATCTGGGGGAAAACAGGGATTTCTTTTCCCTTTACAAGAAAAAAGAGGTGATAGTAAACACAGCTGTTTGAGTTGATTAAATAACCATGGCTGGAGATTCATGCCTGAGGTTCTCTCTGTAAGAATCTGAGTGGGGTAGGCAAGGTGAAAAAAGATTGTTCAGCATGACCCCCAACTAGAATAACAGGACACAGGCACATTTTGCAAGAGTAGCAGGAAATATTCCTAGCACTGGGAAAATTTCTTGCTCTCCTAAGAGAGCTGCTGTAATCTCCACTGCCTGGGAGCTAGACAATTCAAAAGCATTTGATGAGTAGCCTGTTGGCAGCAATTAACCACAGCAGAAGGTGAAGGTCTCGTAACCTGAGAGGGCATCTTTGTCATTCATTTCTTCCAGGACATGTTCAATGAAAAAGGAAAAGAGAAAACTGCTTGAACTTTCCTTTAGCATGGGTAAAGCCTGTCGGATTCATTTGAGCTGGTGATTAGTAGCAAGAGTCAGGTCATGGCTTTGGAGATGAGCATGGCACTGCAGTGGCACTTACTCAAAGGGTCAGAAGAGCAGAGGAAGCATTAAATATTTTGCATAAAATGTACGCTGTGCTGGCTGTTTCTTGACAATGACTTTGATGTCATCCTGAAGAGGCATTACTCATGGTTTAAGAGATTCTGAAAGTGCTGCTGATGATGGTGAAATTACACAAAATTGCATAGGGTGTTATGTAGAAGAGAAGGATCTGTGGGCAGTATAGGGCAACTAGGTACTCAATTCTCTGCAGGTGGTAGGAACACAGAACTTTTCAGGGGAAATGGGTTACTGCTCAGAGCATAAATTTCACCAAGTCTGTCACAAGATGCAGACAAGAAAGTGAGACAGTAGCAATGCTCTGAATACATCTGTGCACAGCTGCACCTCACAGATCTGTGTACAGCAGAATACAAGCACGCTCGTTGCCAGGCTGGATCAGCAATGGGCAGCAGGGGACTGCAGTGCAGACAGAGATATTTAGGAGTGTAAGCAGCTGGACAGAGCAATGTGGGCAGATGGGGACAGTGGTGTGGGCAGCTTGTTCTCGGTGGGATGAAGCGAAGAGAAGCTGAGATGAAAACAAACCTAAATTTTAGTTGCCAAGCCTAATGAATGATTTTAAAGTAAAACTCAGCTCTTCAGGAAAGAACTAATCAGACTGGTATGTTATTCTGGATGTGGAACTTAATTAATGAACACAGTCCTTTCCCAACAGACTGTGAAGGGCTGTGCTGAAATGATACTTTATTGAAAGGTTATAGATGAAATAATCTCAGAAACACTGGGCATCATCACTTTGAACCATGACTCGGATTATTATCATTACCTAATGAAGGACACCTTCTGAAAAGACACCGAACTGAGATTTCTAGCAAGTTATGTGGATTACTAAGTGATAATAACATCAGTAAAAGAAATCACAGCTATGTAATTTCTAGTTCTAGTGCATTGTCTTAAGATACAGTCTTCCTCATTTTTATTACTCACACCAACCAGTAAAACCAAAATAAGTCAGAAAACATAACTGAATTTTCTCTATACTGTTTGTTTACCTTGTGCACTTCTCATAGCCAGGTAATGAAAAATAGGTTAGTCACTCTTATTGTTTCTATACCATTTTATTTTCTGGGTCTGATGCAGTAGCAAAAAGTTTATGTGTTTGAGGTGAAAGTCTTGTATTTATTTTTATACATACCATATTTCCATGGAAACCACATTGATATTACTTTTGGCTACACCTCTATGAAAGCTAAAATTAGGGTCAAATTTACACAGACATTTTCAGATTTCCAGTACCAGTAACCCTTACAGAGAGATATCAGCAAGGTACTTAAATTAATGACTAATATACAATGTATAAATATTCTCTCACTGTCAAATCTGAAGCCAGTATGCATTGCTGTATCCCCTTTGGAGTTCAGGGAAATGTAGTGCTTTGCATCAACAGAGGACGCAGTCCTCCTGCTTTAATGGAGGTATTGTACTCATTAAGCACATGCTAAAGTACCTTACAAAACTGGGGCCTGAATAAAGTCTATGCTGGGATTGAGTGGTATGTGCTGCTCTGCCCATGTGGAATGCCATGTATGAAACACTTCTGACCAGATTCTGAAATAAAAAGGAACATGAGAGCAATGGGTTTGCTGATTTAGATAATATAGCATGAACACACAAAATTTTGCCTTTCAGACACCAACTTAGTTCAGTTTTGCATTAAAAAATTCACCAACTTTCAGAATGTAATGCTGTTGTCTATAGTAGCTTTACTTATGGTAAGCTCCTTCAAGCAAAAGAAGGAAGGGGCAGATTTGGATGTTTACTACAGGATGAATAATGGCTTCATGTAAGGTGCATAAGTGAGCAAATAGACATGTGATGCCTCAGAATCAAAGTCAAAATAAATTTGGAAATTCATCTCATATATTTAGTGGACAGTCTTTTAATTTGGAAATTAAGCTAACTTACATCTTTCTATTTCTCAGGTGATCTGGTTTCTGTAAGACTGCAGATGTCAGTAGCATCACAAATGGATCTACCTGAAGAACTTCAGCATACATATACAAAATTTTCTGAATGGAAATTTAAGCTCTTTAAATTGCGATCATTTGAAAAAACACCCTCTGATGACAGCCAGCACATACAGAAAGATCAGGCAGAAGAGGCTGTTTCTTCAAACAAAGAAATCATCCTGCATGAAGATGAAGCAGTGCCAAGAGAGGAAGAGATGGAGTTAATGGACAATAGGCAGGGACTTGAGGAAGATGCCCATGCCACGAAAACACAAGAAAATAGAGCTCATCAGAACAATCTGAAGCAACTCTGCCGCATCTGTGGGGTTTCATTTAAAACAGATTGTTCCAAGAGAACCTACCCAGTGCATGGGCCAGTGGATGATGAAACTCTTTGGCTTCTGAGAAAGAAAGAAAAAACAGCAACCTCTTGGCCAGATCTTATTGCTAAGGTTTTCAAGATTGATGTGCGAGGGGATGTCGACACTATCCATCCCACTCGATTTTGTCACAACTGTTGGAGTATTATACATAGAAAATTCAGTAATACTCTATGTGAAGTGTATTTTCCTAGGAACAGCACAATGGAGTGGCAACCCCATTCCCCAAACTGTGATGTCTGCCATACTGCCAGACGAGGAGTCAAGAGAAAAAGCCAGCCCCCACATGTGCAACGTGGCAAACGTGTCAAAACCACTGGGAAACATGCTCAGCTAAACAGAGGTGTAAAGAACCAACAACTCAAACAAGCACAGATAAACAACAAAAATTTAATGAAAGAGATTGTCAATTGCAAGGATATACATCTCAGCACCAAGCTGCTTGCAGTTGATTACCCAGTAGACTTCATTAAATCCATTTCTTGCCAGATTTGTGATCATATTTTGGCAGATCCAGTGGAAACAACATGCAGACACTTGTTTTGCAGAACTTGCATTCTTAAATGTATCAGGGTTATGGGCAGCTATTGCCCCTCCTGTTGGTATCCTTGCTTTCCTACTGATCTGGTAACCCCAGTGAAATCCTTCCTGAACATCCTTGATAATCTGAGTATAAGATGCCCTGTAAAGGAATGTGATGAAGAAATCTCGCATGGAAAATATGGCCAACACCTCTCTGGCCACAAGGAGATGAAAGAAGGAGAGCTCTATAGCTACATCAATAAAGGTGGCCGACCGAGGCAGCACCTCCTGTCTTTGACAAGGAGAGCTCAGAAACATCGTCTGAGGGAACTGAAACGTCAAGTCAAGGCTTTTGCCGAGAAAGAAGAGGGTGGTGATATAAAGGCTGTATGTATGACTTTGTTCCTGCTAGCTTTGAGAGCAAAAAATGAACACAAACAAGCAGATGAACTGGAGGCTATAATGCAAGGGAGGGGATCTGGACTTCATCCTGCTGTCTGTCTGGCCATCCGAATCAACACATTTCTCAGCTGTAGTCAGTATCATAAAATGTACAGAACGGTAAAAGCCGTCACTGGAAGGCAGATCTTCCAGCCTTTGCATGCTCTTCGCACTGCTGAAAAAGCCCTCCTACCAGGTTATCACCCATTTGAGTGGAAACCTCCCCTAAAAAATGTATCCACTAACACAGAAGTGGGAATTATAGATGGACTATCAGGACTGCCACTCTCAATTGATGATTACCCCGTAGACACAATTGCAAAGAGATTCCGATACGATGCAGCCTTGGTCTGTGCCTTAAAGGACATGGAAGAGGAGATCTTGGAAGGCATGAAAGAAAAAAACCTGGACGACTATTTGAATGGCCCCTTCACTGTGGTAGTAAAAGAGTCCTGTGATGGAATGGGAGATGTCAGTGAGAAGCATGGAAGTGGGCCGGCTGTCCCAGAGAAGGCTGTTCGCTTTTCCTTCACAGTCATGAACATTTCTATAGCACATGGGAATGAAAGCAAGAGGATCTTTGAGGAAGTAAAGCCGAATTCAGAGTTGTGCTGTAAGCCCTTGTGCCTTATGCTGGCTGATGAATCAGATCATGAAACTCTGACAGCAATCCTGAGCCCCCTCATAGCAGAAAGAGAGGCTATGAAAAACAGTGAACTGCTGCTTGAAATGGGAGGCATCCTGAGAACATTTAGGTTTGTCTTTAGGGGTACAGGATATGATGAGAAACTCCTGCGGGAAGTGGAAGGGCTGGAGGCCTCAGGTTCCACTTATATTTGTACCCTGTGTGATGCAACTCGCTTGGAGGCATCCCAGAATCTGGTCTTCCACTCCATAACCAGGAGCCATGCTGAAAATCTGGAGCGATATGAAATATGGAGGTCCAACCCGTATCACGAGTCTGTTGATGAGCTCCGTGACAGAGTGAAGGGTGTTTCAGCCAAACCTTTTATTGAGACTGTTCCCTCCATAGATGCATTGCACTGTGACATTGGCAATGCAACAGAATTCTACAGGATTTTCCAGATGGAGATTGGTGAACTTTACAAGAATCCTGATGTGTCTAAAGAGGAGAGGAAGAGGTGGCAGTTGACTCTTGACAAACACCTCAGAAAAAAGATGAACTTGAAGCCTATGCTGAAGATGAGTGGAAATTTTGCTAGAAAGCTCATGTCCAAAGAGACTGTAGAGGCAGTATGTGAATTAATTAAGTGTGAGGAAAGGCATGAAGCTCTAAAAGAACTAATGGACCTTTATCTGAAGATGAAGCCAGTGTGGCGATCCTCATGCCCGGCCAAGGAGTGCCCAGAACTGCTGTGCCAGTATAGCTACAATTCACAGCGTTTTGCAGAGCTCTTATCTACAAAGTTCAAGTACAGATATGAGGGCAAGATTACAAATTATTTCCACAAAACACTTGCTCATGTTCCTGAAATCATTGAAAGAGATGGGTCCATTGGGGCCTGGGCAAGTGAAGGAAATGAGTCTGGAAACAAACTGTTTAGGAGGTTCCGAAAAATGAATGCCAGGCAGTCCAAGGTCTATGAGATGGAGGATGTCTTGAAGCACCACTGGCTATATACCTCCAAGTACCTCCAGAAGTTCATGAATGCTCATAAAACATTAAAAAGCCAGAACTTCACCATTGATTCAGGGGGTAGTTTAAGTGACTCCTTGACACAGGAGGTCTTGGAAAACAATGATTCAGCAGAACTCTAAGTACAGCACCTTTGGTGTTTGGTTTGTGATGGTGTCTCCCTTCAGGGAATCAGATTCTTCTTCAAACCTGTAGAGGTAGAAAGAAGTCTGAAATTTACAGTCCCTGTAAAGGTGCTGAGAGGAGTTCATTTAATAAACACGGTGTGTGTTGGGCATCTCCAAGAGGCAATGCACTGCTGCATTTCCCAGTTGTTATATGAAATGAAAGCAGAAAAATATCACAAAGAAGGGTCTTTGTTTTGTTCTGGTCATATTGTTTCTAAGGGATAAAATCGAAGTAAACAAGGTTTTATAGCAAGTTTCAGTTTGGAGGGAATATGATTGTGGAGAGTTGTGACAGTTGCTGCAAAGGAGCATTGCTGTTTGTTTTGTTTGCATTTTGTTGAATATTTTGCTATTTACATTTAAGAGGGCTTGATTATTTTCTTGATGGTTCTTTGGGTTTTATAAGTAAAGATTTGTCAGTGAGACAGTTGGATAATTGTTTTGGATAAAGTTCAGTTATTTTTGTAGAAAATACTTACTAAAGATGCAAACTTTGATGTCACATACTCTAGAAATATGATTATTTAACATATATATTGTAGTATTTCTTAGGAGTAGATGATGGTATCATCATGCTAATTTACTATATGAAGATATAGGAAAGGTAGCTGAAGTTTTTAGAAGATATTTTTATCATAGCCTGTTTACTCTGAAAGGCAAACTTGTTCTCCTAAATCAGGATTTACAGTACCTTGTGGTTATCTCATTATATAAAGTACATTCAAGCTCTGCTGTGTAGCTTGTTGCTTCATGAGCATTTTAGACTTCTATGGTAACTTCAGTATATAGTACAATTTGCATTTGTACAGCTTTATTGAATGAATTCCTGGCCTCACTGAAGTCCCCACTAAATCCTCATTAATACCACTAGGTGCAGAGTTTCACCAAGTTACTTCAGTCACAGCAGTCCCATTTCTCAGGAGATGGTTATTACCTTGATCAGATACATGCCAGCAGGGTATTTCCCTGACTGCTGCTGCCGTACTTCAGCTGTATCTGATACCAAACTTTTTCTCCCCTGGGATATACCACATGCACTGCCTCATTTTCCAAATCTGTAAAAGAGGGATAATATTTATTAACCTCAAAGATAGTCGCTTACATGACTAGTAAAAAAGCAATAAACTCTCTTGAAATTTCTGCATGCCATATTTTTCACAATTACAGCAGTGTTTAGTTGGTATTTGTCTTTCTGAAGTGATATTTAGTATATTCATAGTTCATAAAATTATGACTTTAATTCATGGACATATTCATGAAACATACTCAAGTACCTGAGATGCCTTCAAATCATCTAGATCTGTCAGATCTGCATCTGTGGCTAGGGTGTTACTGTGTTTGCAGTAATGTTTCTGAAACAAGATTAAATGCGGAAACAATCAAAGCACAGATCTAAAAGAATTCACTTTTTTTTTTTTTTCATTTTGATGTGGCAGAAGTTGGTTTCTGAGTGTAAGTGAACAATGAATTTAAAAAAATTAATGGCCTGAGGTTTGTTTTGTAGTATCTTGTTTATGTTTTTTACTATATCTTTAAGGGTCTGGCATTTACCATTCATGGACAATTAAAAAATAGAACTAAGAGCTAGTAATTAGTACCAATATTAACGTTATTCTAATTATGCCTTTCTTTTGATTTCAACTAATTAAATCACTATTTTAAAAATAGTCTAATTTAGGATTTTAGTTTGACATGATTTCTTTAAACATAGTTTAACACAATGTCAAAACCTGTAGTTGGAAATAATGTCTTTTTTCTAAGCAGTCCTGAGGGCTACAGAATTTTCTGTATGATGTATCATGTATATCTGCACATACTGAATGCTCATTTCTAGATTACTTTTTTTTAAAATGTCTTTGAAAACAAGTATTCCCTATATAGCATTAAAAATAGTTTTGCATAACTATCATTCTTTACCAATAAATGCAGACCACAAATAGACCTGTTTCCTAGGGAGTATAAATAGCAGGTATAAAGACCATTCTCTAGCAGTTATAGTTTTGCAGATATCGTTTTCATATTTGGTCAGCATATATTTCATTATACAGACAGTTGCACATTTTTCTTTTTCTCTGTATGTATATTTGGGACAGCTGTTTTACCTTGTGCTTTGTCCTAGAATTTGCTTGAATGAATTAGGGGTTTGTTTAACAATCTTGACTAATCTCATGGTGATTTTCACTCCATTTAAATGGTATATATAATCTTCATTGCCTTTTGCACAGGATTGGATTTCAAGTAATCCAAAGTCATCCATAGCAATGCATTGTTGTGGATATGCATTTCTGCCATGGAGTGAGGGACCAGACTTTGTTAATTTTGCACATGTAATTTCAGTGACTCTAACCAAAACATGGTCAAATTCCAAATTCAATTTAACAGACTGCTGACATAACAGCAAGTGATTGGTCTCATTGGCTATGAAAGGGCTGAGTAAGTTTGATCTTTGTACACATGGTTGCTTAAAACAAACCTTACATCCTGGGGCAACTCATCAAAATGAACAAAATGTGAGTAGGGACAGAGAAATGAAGTGCCATGTGGCAGTATTCTTTTGTGAGATATTTTAAGTTACAAAGTCACATTTCACACTCTACCAGCTCTAGGCAGGACAGCTGACACAGAGAGGTACTACTATTTTTCTCCACTTTTCTGTTTTTTCAGACTGGAATCTGGTTTAATCTTGTATTTCCCCATTGTTGACATCTTTCTGTACATCAGTTGAGCATTTTGAGCTCATTAGAACAAACACTGAAAGGGCAGGTACCTGCAAGTGCAGCTTTTGTAAATAGAGCTGAAATTACAATGCTGCATGCACACAGCCATGCACTGGAAGGCCAACAAATCCTGACTGCAGACAGGTGCAGCATTTGGTTATGCAGCCTGTTGTTAAGCTTTCTGACTTTGAAGAGGCTTTAGAAATATGGAGAGACTTCTATTCATGGTACTCTTTCAAACCTTCACATTCTCTTTTTTACTGGTATAAATCCTTCAGTAATTACAGTAAATAATTACCACTTTGTTCTGAAATTGTATTGACAGTAGTTTTCATACAATCACATCATGTATCTTGTTTTGTTTGGTTTTGTTTGGTTTTATTTTCTTCCAGTGTTTAGTATTGTGAATTACCATGTTATAAATGATGTGAACTATGTTAGAAGCCATGATTCTGTTATCACATGTTCTTCTTCCTCACAGGAATAATTACATTGTCTTTACACAAATTAGCTTTGATTTTTAATCTGGTGGCTCAGAAAGAAACTCTAGATATTTACAGGATCCTAATTTCTGACTACACTGAGTTATTTGCTTTGTTTCACTGCATGGCTTCATAATTTTACTTTTTCTTACTGTATTACAGTTTCTTATTTCATTAAACCAGTTTAAAATAAAAGTCATAAATATTTAAGTTTCTGACTTTTTATTTCTTACAGTTTTTCAATGATGCACATAATTTCCTAGTGGTAGTCTTAGTTTTCATTTAAATTGTGGATGCTTTTCACAGTTAGGCTGTTCTAACACCCAGAGGCAGCTGTAATTCCAGCCCTCTTCTGGAAGTCACTAATTTAACACAAATGAAGATTACTCTGTGAATCTCAGCAGTCTTTTCAGCACCCTTCCTCACAGGCAACTTTTTGACAGAACAGTAAACTGATATAAAACCAGTTTTATTTAGTCTGTAAATGTCTTTTGGTTCATTTACAGATACCATCCCAGACTTTTTTGTAAAATCAGCCTTGCACTGTTGTCACCATGCTAATACATTAAGTATCTTTTGCATCAAATTTTGGCTCCTCACTAGAGGTTAAGCTGTAAAGATTAGCTCCAATCTACCTTTCAGTCCATTATTTGTAGCTTAGCTTTATTCTGCTTCAGAAAAAAATCTTTCTTTTTTCCTTACAATGATATCTACAGGTTAAGAGATTTATGTGAACCAACTGGTTAGAATGGAAGCAATGATGAAAAAATTAAGCTACCTGATTTCCTGTGTAATCAGATAACCAGAGATCTAATATCTGCACTTTATATCACCAACTCAGCTTTTCCATCTGGCATCAAGTAAAAAAATTGTTGGATGGGAAAAACCAGAGCCCATATAAAGCAAAAGCCTAAGCCTCCAACAGTTTTCTGGTAAATTAGGATGATGTAACTCCTTAACTCCTAAATCTGTAATAACTGACTGAATTTTACTTTCCATGTACTCCTGTGGAGATAAGATGAAGAATAATGAGGCTTGTCAGAGCTCTTCAGAGTACTGCTTTAGGGGATTGATATGGTGTAATGGTCAAGCAGCTGACCAGCTGCAACTACTAAGTGTTTCCTTAAGTGTTTAAGGAGCTTTTGTACCTTTTTCATCAAGCTTAATATGGTCCATGATACAAAAAGACACATTAGAGACGATTTAATTAGCAGCTTTTCTAGCAGCATCAGGAGAGAGGTCGAGGTGCATTTTCAATACTGCTACTCTGGAGATGGGCATTCTGAGCAAGTGGACAAGTAACTACCACCTCTACAAAGGAGGTCCTGCACATCTGTGGAATGGCCAGAGCCCTGCTCTTCTCTACATGTTTATGTATTGAGAAACTGGAGAGTTTATAAGGTTATCCTCTTGCTTTTTCTCCAAAGTAAAAACGTGCTCCACAGTGCCAGAGTTTTCAAAGTAGAGACAACAAATTGGAGTTTGATTTTCAAAGGCTCAAGCCTTTCCCAGAAGCTAGTCATGTTTGAAATGGAATAGGGTAGGAAATCAAATATAGAGAGAGCTGAAGCCACCAATCATGAAAAAGAAGTAAGCCAATCCTTCTGTCTTTAATACATAGGGTCCAGCAGTAAATAACTTAAGAAATTTCTTTTCAATCTGAATTCAACATTTTCCTCTTGCTTTTGGCTCCCACTTGCATTATTTCCACTCCTTTCAAAGGTCCATTGGTGCAATGAGTCACTCTGAACTACAA